ATACTTACACCCAAAAATGCCAACGCTCCTTGGACTACAGCAGCCCATTCAAAGCCGAGCTGTTGAACAATAATTCCTCCCACAATGGGGCCATAAAACGTCCTTAAAAACAAGCACAAAATTAGAGCAAAAATCACGGCACTAAAAAGCTAAATGCCAGGAAAGAGATAAATTAGGGACTCACCCAGTGCACCACACTGCTTCATATAACCCAGACACCATTCCAAGTGTACTTAGCCCCTCTTCAAATCCTATTTCACTATGAGGAAAAACTAAATTGTAGAATATTTGTTTCATCCAGCCATATTTATGAAAAAAAACAACACAACAAACAAACTGTAGTTCATTAATGTTGAGCATTATGTGAAGCAACTCACTGTGCACATGAAATGAGCTCAGGGAATATGGGGATTACACTTATTGCCAGAGAAAGCCCAATTAGACCAAGCATGACGACCAGCAACCACAGCTGACTAAATGTAAAAAACAAAACAAAAAAAGGATCCAGAAGTTTGGCTTTTTAAGGCAAAGGGATTAATTCAGTATATGACTTGTCGAGGCAACATGTCCTATTCCCCTTGCAGTGGTGTAGATTTTAAATACCAGGGCTTAACCATCCAAAGTAACCGACCTATGTGTCGATGATAGGGAGACAGACATAATAGTGAAGTTGCCAAGAGCAGAGGCAGTGAAGGTGAATGAATTTAAATAACTGGATTCAACCATCCAAAGCAATGCACAATGAAGAAGAGAGTACAGACAGGAGGGAGTGGTGGAAATGAGTTTTAGGGGGTGATTTGTGACAGAAGGAGAGTGGTGAGAAGCACTGACCAATACTCAGAACAATGGCAAGTCCAAGGAACTCAGTGATAATCTAACAAGAAGAGTTGAAGATTTACACAAGGTGGAAAGGTCTCTTATCAAAATATGTCACCACTTTGCCATGGTCTGGAAGAAGACCCAAACTGTCACCTTTCGTTGAGAGGAAATTGGTTAGGATGTTCATGAACAGCCCAGGAACCAAGGCTCAAACATGCCATTGACTAGAAACTCCTGAAACACCAGCATCTGCGGTGAAACAAGTTTTAAATCACCTAGAAAGAAGCTCGTGCTCCAAAATCAACACCTTCAAAATATTGGTCAAACATGCAACTTGAAATATGCCTAAAGCTTGTTGATGGCTACCAAAAGTGTCTGGTCGAGGTGCTAGTTATTCCGGGACATTTAACCAATATTAAACTTAAACCTGGAAATTGAGACCATAAAGTAATTAGCACAATATTTAGTGTTATATAATAACATTTAAAGTAGAGTTAATTCCTCACAATGGGCTTTCTTTTTTGCTACCACAGGAGTCGCTCCCTGCTAGCCGTGAAAAATATTAAGGGTTTAAGACACTTATTCAGTGTGACTGCTACCTGGCAAGTGCAATTATTTCCTGGAATTAGACATTGTAAAAATGACGTTAGTAAAGTCTACTCCAATCTCTCCTCTGATATGACTCTTGGCTCAGACGGGGATAGACATCTTTCTTAAAATGTCCATCATTTTTAAATACAGAAGTGTTAGTTTTACCTGAATCCCACACTAACCTCTGGATGTGAAGAAAAGGGGCGGGA